TCTTCTTCTTTTGTACCCTCCACACACCCCAATCCGCCTTACTCCAGCCTACATTAACCTGTGCCTTATAGGATGGAGTAGAAGGTCATGGATACATACCAGCAAGGACACCCAAATAGAAGATAAATTTCATAGCAGTCCAGATCTTTCCCTGTGAGATGCAGAAAATCAGCAGAGTATGAAACTCTCAGGACAGTGTTCTCCTCAGGAATGCCTGGTAGAATCAGTGGATATGGTTAGGTAGGGGGACATGAAATGGAATAGGAAAACAGCTCTGGGCATAAAGAGGGGGGTGGAAGAGGGCTCCAGGTACACAATGAGGATGGGCTTCTGCTCGAGGGAAGATGGACTGTTCCTCTCTTGGGTCTTTCAGGGAAGGAAAAAAAAAAAGCCCAGTTCCTTAGACTTCTAGGTCTAGGTCCCTCTACCTGCTGTCCCTAAAAGCCCATCTGCCTCAAATCAGCTGTCTGTGGGGAAGGGAGCTCTGGGCTCAGGGCTTATCTTCCACATGGAGTTTCTGAGGTCAGGGCTGTGAGAGACAAGATTCACCACCTTAGTTCAGGCGGTGTCCCCAGGTTTGCTCCGAAACACCTAATACTTATCCCTTTCCTCAGCCCCTCCCATCTTTATTACACTTCCTTCCTCTTTCCCTGTGATCACTGTTTGTTTCATCACTCCGCCATCATCACCAGCTTGGTCTGTTATCCTGGTCCCCAGCTCTGAGCTAAAGACATGTGGGAATGAAAAGCACTCATAAAGCAGTTAGTTTGACAGCTGGGTAAATGGTCTGTATTCTAGGTTATAGTAAATTGAGGACCTCTTGTGTATTGGTGACAATTCAGAAGGAAGGACCCTTCAGTGCTTTTTACCTAATGAAAAGATTTCTCAGCCAATAATAAACTGCTCGGGTCATCTTTGGAGAATTCAGAGCACACTCTAACAAGAACACTTTCAGTAACAGCTCTTAAATCCCAGGCTCTGAGCTAAATTCTTTATAGACACTGCCAGTGGTGATTTCATATCAGGGCAGTCTGAGATGTAAAATTAATTATTCTTTGTATCACTCTAGCCCTTCAAAGTCTCATAAGCCCATAATCTCATGCCAATGGGACAATAAGCCTACAAAGAGGAAACAAGACTGGTACCATTTTTTTTTTCTTGGTCTGTAGATAACAGAACTAAAACAGAATTTACACCAGTGTCTCAAAATCACACATGATTGGAAAGACTAGAAATAGAATCTAGGTCTTATTATTGGAGACACATAGCTTTTCAGCTGCGTTCTCCAGGCTTCAGCTAATCAACTGGCATTCCTACATCTTGAAAGAGATACATTTCTTCACACAAATTCCCTGAAGTGTAAAATGAAAAAGAGACATGGCACATACTTTTCTGACCCTCACAGTGGACACAGAGGTCCACTGGGGAATAGGTCTGGTTTATGAAATGTGCTTGAGTTTCAAAGACAGGATGGATCTGTGCAAAGTTTTCTGTGGGGAGGGTAGGGTTAGTTAACAGAGATGAAATCTGAGAGAGAGATATTCTTTACTCTGAGGTTGTTGGGCCTAGATTTTTTTGGAAAGCTTATGGGCCAGGAGGGGAGTTTGAGGCCTTTCCAAAGACAACAGATTTTCTGGAGGAGGCTGGTACTGGGGACTACTACCTGTCTATGAGTTTCAAATCAGTATCTCTAGCCCAGACCTCCTGTCCCACATATAGAACTGCCTCCTTGAAACCATTTTTTTTTTTGCATCTGCTTGAGGTTCCTGAAATTTAGCATGTCAGAATTTTATCCTTTCTTCCTCTAGCTTTTCAAATGCATTCTTTGCCTGTTTTTCTAATTATAGGAGATTACCTACCATTTGTTTGATTTTTCCCTTTTTCTCACCACTCAACCTTAAACAGTTCTACTTCCAGAAGTGTCTTAAATCCACCCTTATCTTTTCATTTCTCACAGCTGTCATCCTAATGCAGGCCATAATCTTGTCACGCTTGAACTAATATGTGTGCCCATCTGGTGTTGCTCAACTTGACATTCTCCTTTTTATTTAGAATTGTTTTTTTCCCCCCTTTAGAATGCATATGAAATCATGTCAGTCTCTTTTTAAAAACTCTTCAGTAGTTCCCTATTGTCTGTAGAGTAAACCCCTAGCATGCTTTAATGGTCTCCCTTGAACCTCTTCCATCTTGTCCTCATAACCCTCTCTCCTTAGCTTCTTTCCCACACCCCGCCCCCCTGCCCCACATAATTTTTACAGGCTTAGCAAACTACTTTCAAGTGTGGGATTTCTTGTTTCCATATGAATACCTTTTTATATTATTTTAGCTGTTGAGTGCTTCTTGTAGTTTGCCAATCCTATTTATTTATTTTTTTTTTCTTAAAGATTTATTTATTTAAGAGAAAGAAAGAGAGAGAAAGAGAGAGAGCAGGGGGAGGGGCAGAGAGAGAGAGAGAGAGAGAGAATGAGAGAGAGAACCCTTAAGCAGACTCCCCTGCTGTACAAGGAGCCCATCTCGGGGCTGGATTCCACGACCCTGAGACCGTGACCTGAGCTGAAATCAAGAGTCAGCCACTCAACAACTGAGCCACCCCGGTGCCCCCACTTTTTTCTCTTTTGTTTTAGGATACTGATAATCTGATATGGACATCATTCATAAAGCTGTTTGAAAAAATAACTTTAGAATTCTGTGGATGGATGTGTGTATGTGTGTTTGTGTGTGTGTTTGATACTCAGCGTTTCCTCATGTTTGTAATTTTTTGTTATTAAGTTATTAGTATTATTACAAATTCCTTGTGCACATGGAGATGCATCCGCTTCTAGCCTCATTCCACAAACCATCAGGTTTACAGAGACTCTAATTCTGTTATTGTTTCATTCTGCCACCTGATTTTCTATTTAGATAATATTCCTGTCCTACTCCACCACCAAAAATCAATTTGAAAAAGTCAACTTTTGAAAAAGGCAACTTTTGCAAAACTCCAATTCACTTCACCCCCCCGCAATGTATTCAGTGATATATGCTTACATGCATATATGCTCATATACAAGTGAAATGAATGACAGCAATGATGTAAGGGAAAGGAAAGAGAAGTCAGAATTATTTTATTATCATTAGGTACTCACACTAACCATGAACTGACACAGTGTTTTTGGAAGTGGACAACGGTTAATTGTAAATTTATATTGCAAATTCTAAGGCAACCATATAAAAAACATTAAAAAAAAGTATAATGGATATGCTAAGAAAGGAGAGAGACTAAAATAATATAAAATACTCCATTAAAATCACAAGTGGCCAACCAAAAAAAGTGAAAGACAAAGCCTTTTTGAAAAAGGATAGAATGAGAGAGCAAGAGATCCCTGCATACAGGAGGGCAGTGTAGTAAGAAAGATTTGGAGCTCTGAGAAGAGCCACTGGTGTCGGTGTTGGTTGGGAGCTTTTATTCAAATGGCATCTGCGGTTGTGAGACATGACCTGTACAAGTGAAGTCATTCTCAGGAGAGGTGGGCTAGGCACTCACTACCTGCATGAAGGGGAGGAGGTCAGTGTCACACAGGAGGGTGGGACACAGCTGTGCTTCATCAGAGCAGCCCAGAACAGAAAGGGGTCAATGGGACATGTAGAGGGAGGGGTGCTGGTCACACATTGTGGGGAAGGGACTGGTGAGAAGAACGGAGAGGCTTGGGGGAGGAACTTGGGAAGACTTTTAACTCCACAGAAGGGTTACTTGACTCCTGCATTGGAATTCTTTTCTTTAGATGAAGTAGGTAAAGCTCAGAACCGTGGACCTCATCTTCCCATAGGGCAGGCTTCAGTGAGACTGAGAAGATCTCCGGCTGTGACGGGTGACTCTGCTTTCACTCCAAGGATCAAGAGTAGAAGGAGAAACCTCTAGATGACAGACTTTTGTAGAATCCTTATCCTCTGGTCTCCCACCTGCACCTTCTGCTGTCTCAAATCCCCAGGCAGGATATAAATTCTGTGCTTTCTTTGTGCCTGTTAATTTCCACTACATCCTTGTCCTCAGCACAGGATTCGGGCATCAACATGAATTGTATCCCATTAACCTTGCTGATGGTGACTGGTGAGTGACTCAAGGTAACTCTTTGTCAAGTTTATTAGGACTCTGTTGGGGGAGGTGAGGCTGTGGTGCTGTGTTGGGGAGGGAGAGCTGGTGGATCAGGGACATGAAAGTTTGGGAAATGGGTGATACATTACTCATTTTCTGTACAGGCTCTGTCATTGGTAGGACCCAAGTAAAACTTTCTATTATGGGCTCAAATCTCCTCCCAATGCTTATGAAGTTCGTGGGCTAAAACATGGGGGTATGCCAGAAAGGATGATGGAGATAGGAGCCTGGAAGGGGGCATAGGAATGTGTAAAAGACATAGGAAACAAAAAAGCAGGTGTTCTGCTGTAAGGGTCGAAAGGGAAAGGTTGATTTTGCTCTTGGGCTTTAAAATGTAACGTACAATAATAAGAATAATAACTATCACCACCACTGCCATAAAAGCACATAACTACATAGTGGTTTTATAACAGACACCGCTCTCTTCATATCAACTTTGTGAGAAAAGTATTATTATTGTTCTCTCTCTCTCTTTTTTTTCTTTTGATGAGGAATGAAGGCATGGAGTAATTAGGTAACTTGCCTGCAATGAAGTTGGTATGGCTCTGTAATTAGGCAGTTATGCTCTTCTACCCAGTTATATGGCCAGGGAAATACTCTAACCTGTCTGAGCCTCAGTTTCCATATGTGCAGCATGAGAAAACTCTCTGTCTCTTAAGGACATCAGTGCTTCCTAAACTTGTATTAGACTGAGAGGAGTTAGCCAAGTTACGTGGGGTGAGGGGTGGGTAGGTGGTTTCCGACAGAGAGGAAGGTTGTTTCAGTAAGTGTGAAGGTCATGAGGTGTGACATGTTAACTAAAAGACCATCTGTGTGGCTGGAGCAGAGAGAAAGGAAGTAGATTAAGAGTCCTAAAGTAGACCCCTCCCTTCCTCTGGAGCTATCAAGTGATGCTGTTTGGAAAAATTTCCCAGCAGTTGTGTGGCTTAAAGAAACCCCCACGGTCATGTGACTACAGAAACTTTTGGGGCTGGTTGAATGCAGTGTTTAATAAAGTAGATTATGAACGCATCAAGGACGTGGGACCTGATAGGGCAGCATCTGAGTGGCTGCTACGCTGTGGGGCCACGGTGCGCTACCATGGCCAGGAGAGGTGGCAGAAGGACTACAACCACCTCCCAAGAGGACCTCTGGACAAATACAAGATCCAGGCAATTGATGCCACCGAGTCCTGTATCATGAGAATTGGATTTGATTATCTGGAGGGCCTACAGCACGTTGAAAAAATAAGACAATGCAAGTGTCATTATATTGAGGATGACTATTTGAAGAGACTTGGTAAACTGGAAAATTTACAAAAAAAGCATACTGGAAATGGAAATAATTTCATGTGGGAATATCACAGACAAAGGAATCATTGCTTTATATCACTTAAGAAACCTCAAGTATTTGTTGTTAAGTGATCTTCCTGGAGTAAGAGAAAAAGAAAATCTTATCCAAACCTTTAGGACAGCACTGCCTTCTCTGGAACTAAAATTAGACTTGAAGTAAAATAATAATATTCAATAAGTGTCTTCTTTCAATATAAAGTATCATTTAAAATTGTTGATCCTAAATAGCAGTAAATATTACATAATCATCAACAGACCTTAAGAATGTTGTATCATGATGTATCAGAAGCAGAGAGTCCATCATGTAGAAAATTAATATTCAGACATGACTCACTAAAGTTACTAAGTTGGAAGTAAAAATCTATGCACATTAAGTCATTTTAAGAAAAATGGAAAGCAGGTAGCAGTTTAATTCTGATATATTCCTCATTTTATATAAATATCTATGTAGGTAACTTTTGTTGTAGATGACAACAGAGTTCTTTAAACTGATTTAGGGCGGGGCACCTGGGTTGCTCAGTGGGTTAAAGCCTCTGCCTTCGGCTCGGGGCATGATCCCAGGGTCCTGGGATCGAGCCCCGCATCGGGCTCTCTGCTCGGCAGGGAGCCTGCTACCTCCTCTCTCTCCGCCGCCTCTCTGCCTTCTTATGATCTCTGCCTGTCAAATAAAATCTTAAAAAAAAAAAAAGAGTCATATAGTAGAGAGTCTTCTAGCCTTAATTTTAGAAATGACCCTGGGTGTAATAGGAATCCTTTCAAGAGTTTTAAATATCTGAGTTCTATTACCACATTTAGGATTTAGAAACATTCACGTGACTTTAGTATGGAGAATGATTTTGGGTAGAGATAGGGGTCATGGGTGGGAAAGATCTGGAGAGAAATTTAAGAGACTGTTGCAACTTTCTGGGCAACTGAATGGACTAGGATGGTAGCCGCGAGTCTGAAATAAAGGAAAAGGATACCAGAGGTAGTAGTGAGATAGAAGTCATGATCAGCTGAATGTGAGGAATGAAGGGCAGGAAAAAGTAAAGGCTTGTCATCCAGATTTCTGGTTGAATGAATGGTAGTACAGTTTATGGAAATCAGGGACACTGGACAAGGAGGTATTTGGGGAAGGAGACAGGTTACTTTTTTGACTTACTAAGTTCGAAGTATTTTTGACATCGAAAGGAGATGTCCACCAGAATATAAAGGTCAGGAACTCATGACGGATCTGAGCTGGGATGCAGATCTTGGAATTTGGGAACTTTGACAGGATTTGAATTCATGGGAATGAGTGGAAAAGATTACTTGAAAAGAGTTTATGGAAATGTGTAAAAGATAGAACTATGAAGAGTTCTAACTGCTTTTTTGGTTTAAAATTCTCATTTTGAAATAATTATACATTTACAGGAAATTGCAGGAAATGTGTGGAGTACCACATACCCTTCATCTGGTTTCCACCATGGTAACATCTTGCATAACTATGGCACGAAAATATGACAGACCATGAAACTGACATTGGTGCTGTCCAGTTTATTCAGCTTTCCTCATTTTTACGTGTGTGTATTTAAACTTCACACCTGTAGGTCTATGCGTCCATCACCACTTTGAAGACACAGAAGAGTCCATCACTGCAGGGTCCCTCCTGTTGCCCTTCTTATGGACACACCATTACATTCTCCCTCCTCCACAAAACCTCCCTTCCCTAAGCCATGGCAACTGCTAATGTGCTCTTCACTCCTGTAATATTGTTGCAAGAATGTTACAGAAATGGAATCCTATAGTATGTTATATTTCAGGATTGGCTCTTTTTAGCGTAATTCCCTTGGGATTTGTCCAAGTTGTGTGTATATCAATAGTTTTTTCTTTTTATTACTATTATTTTGGGGTATGGATGCACACTGGTTTGTTTAACCATTTACCCACTGAAGCACATCTGGGTGGTTTTCTAATAAAGCTGCTATGTTTTTGTGTGATAGTAAGTTTTTGTTTGTCTGGGATACATGTCCAATAATGCAGTTTCTGGCAATGGTAATTGTATGTTTAGTTTTATACCATACTGCCAAATTGTTTTCCAGATTGGCTGCACCATTTTAGATTCCCACCAACAATGTATGAGGGAGCCATTTTCTCTACTTCTCTGCCAGCATTTGGTGTTTTCACCGAAGTTCACTATTTTTTATATTAGCCATTCTGTTAGGTGTATAGTAATACCTTATTGAAATTTTAATGTTCATTTTCTTAGTGACTAATGATGTCAAATATCTTTCATGTGCCTGTTTACCGTATGGATAGTCTTTTTTTTTTTTTTTAAGATTATTTATTTATTTATTTGACAGAGAGATCACACATGACCTGAGCCAAAGGCAGAGGCTTTAACCCACTGAGCCACCCAGGCACCCCTGGATTTTTTTTTTTTTTAAATTTTTAAAATTTTCAGCGTTAACAGTATTTATTGTTTTTGCACCACACCCAGTGCTCCATGCAATCCGTGCCCTCTCTAATACCCACCACCTGGTTCCCCCAACCTCCCACCCCCCGCCCCTTCAAAACCCTCAGATTGTTTTTCAGAGTCCATAGTCTCTCATGGTTCACCTCCCCTTCCAGTTTCCCTCAACTCCCTTCTCCTCTCCATCTTCCCATGTCCTCCATGTTATTTGTTATGCTCCACAAATAAGTGAAACCATATGATAATTGACTCTCTCTGCTTGACTTATTTTACTCAGCATAATCTCTTCCAGTCCCGTCCATGTTGCTACAAAAGTTGGGTATTCATCCTTTCTGATGGAGGCATAATACTCCATAGTGTATATGGACCACATCTTCCTTATGCATTCGTCTGTTAAAGGGCATCTTGGTTCTTTCCACAGTTTGGCAACCGTGGCCATTGCTGCTATAAACATTGGGGTACAGATGGCCCTGGATGTTCTTTTTAGTGACGTGTTTGTTCTTGTCTTTTGCCTATTTTCTAATTAGATTGTTTGTTTTATTGACTATTGAGTCTGAGAATAAGTATCCAGTCTGTACAAGTCCTTTATCAGCTATGAGGTTTGCACATATTTTTCCCGGTCTATAACTGGTCTTTAAACTCTCTCCAGAGAGTCTTTTATAAAGCAATTGTTTTTAAATTTGATGAGGTCCAATTTATCATTTGATCCATAGGTTATTCAGGAGTATGTTTAATCTCCATGTATTTTGGGATTTTCCAGGTATCTTTCTGTTATTCATTTCTAGTTTAATTCCATTGTGGCTTAAGTTCAGAAATTGCATGATGCCCTTTTCTTTTACATTTGTTAAGGTGTGTTACGTGGTCCAGAACGTGGTCTCTCTTGGTGAATGTTCCATGTGGGCCTGCTAAATATGTGTGTTCTGCTGGTTTTACAAAAGCAGTCTATACTTGTCAACTACATCCAGTTGGTCAAAGGTGCTGTGGACTTAAATGACATCCTGACTGTTTTTCTGCCTTCTAGAACTGTCCATTCCTGATAGAGAAACGTGTTGAAGTCTCCAAGTAGGAGAACGGATTTATCTATTCTTCTCTGTAGTTCTATTAGCTTTTATCTTATGTAGTTTGATGCTCTGTGATTATGCACATGCACACTAAGGATTGTTATGTCTTCTTGGATCATTGATCCCCTTATTATAATATAATAGTGCCTGCCTTTCTCTCTGATAACTTTCCTTAAAGTCTGTTATGTTTGAAATTAATATAGCTACTCCTGCTTTCTTTTGAGTAGTGAGAGTGGGGTATATCTTTCTCCATCCATTTACTTTTGGTCTGTCTTTATGTTTAAAGTGGGTTTAGGGGGCCCTGGCAGGCTCAGTCGGAGGCGCATGCAACTCTTGGTCTTAGGGAAGCCCCGTGTTGGGTGTAGAGATTACTTAAATAAATAAAACTTAAAAAAATTTAAAGTGGGTTTATTGTAGACAACAGACACTTGGATCTTGTATTTTGATTCATTCTGACAATCTCTGTGTTTTAATTGGTGCATTTAAACTGCTGTATTTATAGTGAATATTGATATAGTTGATTACTATCCACCATATTTGTTATTGTTTTCTACTTGTTTTATGCTCCTGTTTTTTCTTTCACTTTTTTTGGTTTGCCACTTGTCATTTAAATGGAGTATTTTATATTATTTTAGTTTCTCTCCTTTCTTAGCATATCCATTATACTTCTTCTTTTTTAATATTTTTTATATGGTTGCCTTAGAGCTTGCAATATAAATTTAAAATAATCGTGTCCACTTCCAAAAACACTGTGTCAGTTCATGGTTAGTGTGAGTACCTAATGATAATAAAATAATTCTGACTTCTCTTTCCTTTCCCTTACATCATTGCTGTCATTCATTTCACTTGTATATGAGCATATATTCATGTAAGCATATATCATTGAATACATTGCCGGGGTTGGGGGGGAAGTGAATTGAAGTTTTGCATTTACCAGCACATTTCCATGTTAAAGGGTGAGAATTGAAATGCACCTCCCTACTGTGCTCCATTTACCAGGAGATGGAGGAGGCAATGTTCTAAGTAGCTCTACCTTACATAGCCTTGTTCAATATAGTTGTCAAATGACAATGAAGGCTTGGCAACCTGCTGGGTCTTGGGGATATAGGGCCATGTGTGGTGGAGAGAAGGAAGCAGAGTACTGTTAACTTTGCCTCAGACTCCTCCGTCAGCCTCCTGGCCACTGTGCAGAGGCTCAGCTTCCCCCTGAGCTCCATTCATACTGCTTGAGAAATTGGGAGTATTGCCTGTTTCCACTGGGAGTGAGGGTCGAATATTAGCCCCTTACTCAGCCTTGGGGAACCCATGGCAGGCGGGCATTTTCCCATTGTTTGGGAACATTGCCACTTCCCATTGTTTAGTTAGAGTAGGGTAGGTGTTGTCAAAAAGAGTTCTTTTGTGTTCAGCTATCCTTTCCCCTTTCCTCTGGCTCAGAGGAGCATGTTTTTCTTGAAGTTTTTTTAAAAATTTGTTTTGTTTTTGTTTTTTGGCTTTGCTTTTTGGTGGTTCTGGATTATAGGCTACTCTGCTCCAGTGCTCTATCTTGGATCTATGAGATGTAAGAATACTGAGGGAAGTTAGTGTTATGTTGTTCCTTAAGTCCCCAGGTTCCTTAGGTAGTCCACTTTCTTCTTTCCATTATTCAGAGTCTTTCTATGTTTGTTGTGTTTATTGTGTGGGGTTTTTATTTTTATTTTTATTTTATTTTATTTTATTTTATTTTTTTTAAGATTTTATTTATTTATTTGACAGACAGAGATCACAAGTAGGCAGAAAGGCAGGCAGAGAGAGAGGAGGAAGCAGGCTCCCAGCTGAGCAGAGAGCCCGATGCGGGGCTCGATCCCAGGACCCTGGGATCATGACCTAAGCCGAAGGCAGAGGCTTAACCCACTGAGCCACCCAGGCGCCCCTATTGTGTGGGGTTTTTAGTTGTAAAAGGGAAAAGCTGGGAGCAGGGAATGGGGCTACTCCTTCTTGGATCAAATGGAAAGTTGAGCTCTAATGCTTT